TTATTGAGTACTTGCTATGTACCAGACACTGGTACACAGTATATCATATACTGTACTGTACTATACTGTATACTGTGCAGAACATACTTTGACCATTTAATCTTCCCATCACTTAAATGTAGATTATTATTAATCTCAGTTTGCAGATTAGGAAACTAAAGCTTAAAAAAGACAAACCATTCACCCAGATTTATAGTGACAGTAACAATCTTAGGGTCTGTCCTTCCAAAATCCATGCCTTTAACCGTGAAGCAGGAGCAGCACAGTCAGCCGTAAAGAGCACTGGCTTTGCAGCCAGAAGCCTTCCCACAGATCAGCTGCGCAACGGGAGGTGACTATTTAACCTCACCAAGTCTCTGTCACTTCATCTTTGATGTGGGAATAATTCATTTCTACCCTGCCTTTCTCCAGGGGTTGAAGACTGTGTCAACGCCCGTTGCTGAGTTCCAGTAAGTTCATTTCTCTTGGACAAACTTTGTTGTCCATCTGTTCAAGGTCAGGAATGAGAGCTGGGATGAGAGAAGAACTGCAGATGAGGGAAGACTCAAACTAAATGACTAAGTTATTCATTTTTCTTGTCACACATTTTATTTGCTTTTGTGTAACTGGGAAAACACAATTCTAGTGTTTGACAATGAATTTTACTAACATTAAAAGCTATCTAGACATGAGAGCCAGGTACGGTGACTCACGCCTATCATCTCAGCACTCTGGGAGGCCAAGGCAGGAGGATCACTTGAGCTCAGGAGTTTGAGACCAGCCTGAGCAACACAGTGACACCACCACGTCTCTACAAAAAATACAAAACTTGGACAGACAAGGTAGTGCACGCCTGCCAGTTACTAAGGAGGGTGAGATGGGAGGATTGAGGCTACAGTGAGCTGTGATTGTACCACTGCACGACAGCCTGGACAACAGAGTGAGATTCTGTCCCTAATAAAAAGCTATCTAGACATGATGGCCAGATGCAGTGGCTCACACCTATAACCCCAGCACTTTGGGAAGCCAAGGCAGGAGGATCACTTAAGTCTAGGAGTTCAAGACCAGCCTGAGCAACACGGTGAGACCCTATGTCTCTATAAAAAAAAATAAAAAGCTTGGCTGGGTGTGGTGGTAGACACCTGCAGTTCCAATTACCAGGGAGGCTGAGACGGTAAGATCACTTGAGCCCAGGAGGTCGAGGATACAGCAAGCCGTGACTGTGCCCCTGCACTCCAGCCTGGGCAACAGAGACTCTGTTTCCAACAAAAAGTTATCTAGACATGATGGCCAGGTGTGGTGGCTCACACCTATAATCCCGGCACTTCGAGAGGCCAAGGCAAGAGGATCACTTGAAGCCAGAAGTTCAAGACCAGCCTGGGAACATAAGCAGACTCCATCTCTATAAAAAATAATATATAAATTTTTTTAAAAAGCCATCTAGACATGAAATTAAACAATCAAAATAGGGGACCACATGGTATGTGTTCAATAAGTAACTAGAGGAAGGCAGGGGAAAGGCAGGCCAGGGGCAGGCAGTACTGGCATTTCCTCTGGATCTTGCTGAGGGATTGGCCTGTTGGTATTTTGTTCCTCTGTATGGGGTTAACTGGTTCTTTGGTCTCTAGCAAATTAATTCGGTCAATTTGGTTATTTAATTTATGAATAAAGAACTTGAAAGCAATGCAGTAACAAATATTCTCAGCTAAACCATAATATTCTATAGCTTGAACAGCCTCTGATTTTTCTGAACAGAGGCATCAGGATGGGCCTCTTGGTTTCTTGAAGTGTCAAACTGCCTAGTTGAAGCAACACCCATGGAGACCAAACACACACATATACACGCATACACTCCCACAGAGCTGACATAAAAGAGATGCTGCAAATAGTAGCTAATAAAATCCCAGTGCACACGTTTATTCCTACAGTCATCAGTTAACACAACACTGACGCAGAGAAAGATCCCTAACAACCTGCCAGTTGAGGACTTTTGGGAACTCTTAGAAAAACACATGCCGAGATCAAGAAATGAAAATGAATTTATGATGGTTTGGTTAGAAGCTATGTTTGAATGTAGAAATAAAAGATGTTAAGTAATAACTCGGGGAATCCCTAACCATACAGTGGGGATTTACGTATATACAGAATATGAAATATTCATCATCCTCCATGAAGCACACTTGTGGCTGAAGCTCTACAACAGAATCACAAAATTAACCCATTTTCTCCACAGGTAAAATCACTAAAAAGAGCAAAAGTGCCAATTTGGATCTGTTCGAGATATTTTTTTCAACATTAGGAACACAGTTAATACTCTGCAACTAGAGGACCACCTGTAACGAATCCACCATTAGAGAGATGGCATTTCTGTGAAACCACATGGCATCATCGTTCCAGTGCCAGTGTTGATCCTAACAGATAACATAAACTCATGGGGAACCCCTGTGCCCCTTCTTCCAGTTTCCAGGGTCTGGAAGGATAAGAGGCTGCTCTCAATGAGGGCCCATGGGAGCAACAGCAGACTGAGTAGAGTGTGTCACTGCCACTCTCAACGCCTGTTCACATGCTTTCCCTCCCATCCACAGGTCCCTCCACTGAATCTACCTACTAGTGTCAAACAGACACAAAGCCTAAACATCAAGAAGGCACCCAGGAACTGCACACACCATTAGAAATGGAGGAAAGGAGTTGTGTGAGAGAAGGACTGGGAAGGGGGGAATTTGCCTAAATCTGAGATCTTTCTCATTGCCTGTTCTCAGAGCACAGGGTTCAGACACAAAACATTTCTCCTGAGAGTCAGAGGGCTTTGAGTGACAAGTATTACATTGTCAAGAGATCATTTATTTCCCGTTGAGACAGCATTTGGAAGGGCAAAAGCCAGGCACAAAATTAGAGCCAATTAATACTAATCAGAAACAAAAGTAAATAAATTAAAAAGGTTTTAATTAAGCCTACCCAACAGGAGGAGGTGGAGACTGAAGGAGTATCATGCCCAATAATAACCAGGATATAGGAAGCCCAGAGAATAACTCCCTATAAATATATTGCTTTTTTTTAAATTCTGGGAGGAAAAAGTAACTCCACATTTCATTGAGCATAGGATACCACGACTTACATAAGGAGTTGCATTCGATGCTGGACTCAAAAAAAGCAACTGAAATTGATTTGGAATGTGGTTTAACTTCTTTATCTAATCACTGTTAATAAATAAGAAGACCTTTCATTAGTTGGCAGGAGGACAGTTGCTACTAGCCAGTTTGATTTTCCTGAAAACGGTAAAGACTTGCATGTACTTTTTTTTCCCCCCAGATATAATCCCTAAAGACCAGGCTGTTTCTGGAATCAGAAGTTGTCACGCAGTGTCATACACTTCCTTAACAGACCTAAGGTCGCCTTTCGCATGCTCCCAAATTGTTTTGAACACTTTTTATTGCGATCTTTTTGAAAGTGAAGAGTTTAGAAACCTCATGGCAAATCAGAAGTTGTCATCAAGAGTAAACATGTAGGAGACCAGAGGATGAAATGATCTATCCAGGGCACAGTAGGTGGCCAACACTTCGAAACCTGAAATAACCAAGATTCCTCAATTATTCGCCGGAGTTGCATGGGAGATTTAGTCAACTGAGCTTAAGAAGATGCCCTATATCTTGTCAGCAGGCGAGGAAAAAGTCAGTTCTGTGTATCCCCAACTTAGAAATCTATCGCATCCCACCCCAGGCTACATCTGGGCTGATTTGCTGGGTCCCCAAACTCGGTAGAGAGAATGCCACAGATCAGGGACAGGCGGCCCCACCTGCTGGGTCCCACCCGCTGCCTGGAGCAGCAAGGCGGGGGTGGAGGGGGGCCTTCCAAGTGGCCCCCTTCCCTCACTGCTCCCAGGAGCCCGGCCCCAGAATGGCGGTCTCTTTGGGGCCCCCAAAACAATCAGATCTTTAAAAGAAAAAAGAGGGAGAGCGGGCTGGCATTATATAACAATTTACAGTAGATAAAGCTTCTAGAAAACGAAAGCAGCCTGGGGAGGGGCGGAGGGCAAGGGAGACGAGGGAGCGCGGCGTCGGGGGAGCGGTCGCCGCCACTTACTCGAAGGCGAAGAAGAGTCCGCTAGTGACCAGGATGAGGACGAGCGTCAGGTAGAAGACGCCTGTCTGCCGGGCCATCATGATCCTCCCGTTGCAGAAGAACTTGTTTCTTCCCGGGAACACCTCCCATTTCCTCCGGGCCGCGATTTTCTTCTTCTTGTGGGGCGACTCCATGGGGGAGGAGCTGTGGGTGCTGATCTGGCTGTACTCGCAGTCTTTCATGGGCCCGCCGCCGCCGGGAGGCATCCACGAGGGCAGCCGGCTGGGGGCGCACACCCCCAGGAGCCCCCCGGCCGCGCGGGCCCCGCCGAGCCACGACCGCCGCCGGCCGCCCGGCCGCCCCCCGAGCCGCGGCGCCGCGGCCCCTACACCGGCTCCCGGCTCGGCGACAACTTTGCCGAGGACACCCAGGTTAACCCTCCGGGGAGCCCAACTGTCATAGCAGAAGCCCCGCTCGGCGGGGACGGCGCTGGCCGGCAGCCCGCGGCAGCGCTCCTCCGTCGCGTCCAGCCCGTGTCCCGGGGAGCGGGGCTTAGCCCGGCCGGCCCCCGGGTCGCCGAGCGCCCGCCCCCTCGCGCGGCCGCCCGCTCGGCCCCGCAGCCCCCAGCTCCCCGGCAGCGCCTCGGTTCTGGCCCGCCGACTCCAGAGCGCTAAACCCCGAGGGGACACGAGGCGGCGGCCCCGGCGCCGGCTTCCTCGGGAGCCACTTCTGAACCGCGGCCAGGTTGGGTCCACTCCTTCCTCCGGCGGCGGATCCTCCCAGGAGAGAGCGCCGGCGACTGGGCGGCCGCGCGCGGCACCGGCAACCCCTCCCAGGGGTGGGGACAGCCACGCACGTTTTTCTGTCAGGAGCCGCTCGGCGAGAGCCCTGGCGCCGCTCGCACCGCGACCCGCTGTCGCTGCGCCCGGCAGCCGAGTCGAGTCCGCGGGCCCCGCGCGGGGATGCGCGGGCCGCGCGGCGAGGGCTCCCTGGCTCCCTCCTGCCCAGAGGGAGCAGCCCCGGCGCGAGGAGGACCGCGAGGACACCGCACAGACACTTGTTTGCAAGGCTCAGCCCCGGCGCGCGCGCCGCGCTCTGAGTGGATCCGCCTCCTCCAGGCTGGGTGGGCGGCGGCCCCGCGCCTCACCCGCGGCTCCTCCTCCTGCTCCTCCTCCTGCTCCTCCTCCTCCTCCTCCTCTCCAGCGAAGCCCCGGCACCGGCGCCGCGGGTTCCCCGCCCTGGTCTCCACCGGCGGGCGCCCTGGGCTGTGGGCCGGACCGGGCCTGGCGCGGCCCCGGGGGAAGGCGCAGGGGCTCCCAGTGGCATCGGCCGAGAAGGGATGGCCATGGTCAGGCGCGGCGCCGTGCGCTTTTGACCGACTTCAGTCTGTCTTGCGGCTCCTCTCGGGTTTATCCCCCGCAGCAGCTGCCGCCTCGGGACACGCTCATTCCCACGGCCACTGGCAAGCAGGTCCTGGCGACTTCCCGGGACCTGAGGAGCCGCGGCGCAGAGGTGACCCTCCCCGGCCCGCGCCCCCTTCCTCCTCCCCCGCTGGGCGCGCGGTGGAGTCGCCGGGAGACTCTGCTGATGCCCGGGGAATGGGGTGGGGGTGCCGGGTGCCAGGATGGGGAGAGGCGGCCCGAGGCCGGCCTGACTCCGGGACCAGGCTGCGGGCGAGGGTCTCGGGGCCTGGCTCGGCCGGCTTCCGGGCCGAGAAAGAAGGGCGGAGGAAGCGGTCAGGGTCCCCTCCGGCCCCAGCCTCCCTCCCGGAGTAGAAGCCTCTTGCAGGGTAGGTTCTGGGTTGCTGCCGCCCAGCCCTTTCGGTCTCCACTTCTCCGCACAGATGCTCACAACTGCTCGCTTTATTTCTCCCTCCATCCCCCCGTGGAGCCCTCTAAGCAGCGGAGGAATCGCGCGCTTCTCTTCTCCTGCTCGCGCTTTCCTCTTTCCCCGCCGGACAGTCCAGGAGGAGCTGCGGGCGCGGCCCTGGGACGGCCGGGGGTGACTGCTCGCTAGCGCCTCCCAGGCTTTGCCGCGGGTCCGAGCTCCCGCAGGGGTGGGCACAGCCCCGGGGCCGCGGAAAGCGGAGGCAGCTGGGCAGGGAAGCTCGGTTTTCCGAGCCCTGCTTTCCTTTCACACCCTACTGGGATGTGTAGTTCTTTCTCCCGCTGGCGGGCGCCTAGAGAAAGCAGGACTCGGGCCTTAGAAACTACAAGTCCCTGCATCCCCCGCGACAAGGGCGGGAGAGGCGTGGTGGCGAGAGATGGGAACCAACAAAGAGGGTTGTGGGGAACGGTGCCTTCTCTGTACTGGGCATTTTGCACGTTACACATGTTCTTCGTCTAATAGTCACCAGAACCATGCGAGACATTATTGTCTCCAGCTTAGAGAAAGCTTAACTCCTGGCCAAATATCACAAAGCTCCCAAGTGATAGAGATGGCATTGAACCCAGATCCCTAAGTATGTCCCTTACAAAGCGTGCCTCAGTGAGCAGTGTCGAAGGGAGATGAGATTGGCTTATCCAAGAAGGCCAGTTGGGAGGAGCTTCTTGTAGTAAGGAAAAGGTGGTGGGAATAGAAATTAAGAGTATGATCTTAAATTGCAAGAAGTTTTGAATAAAAATGAAATTTACAGGGGTCCATTCCAAAGCAGGTTAGGGTCTAGGGAGAATGGATCTTAAGCACACGGTCATAATTGGGTTTGAATTATTTTAGATAATGTATGAGAGCCAAGCATATTACAGGGACAATTAAGTACTTTGTGGCTGCACTGGTTTTTTAAAACCAACTGGAAAGCTTCAGACATTTCAAGTGAAAGCTCTCATATGCTTTCCTGTCCTTTAGCTAATGAGATCAACGGGGTATTATTCTTACTCTATTTATTGTGAGCACCTTTTCTGTGGATGCCCAATTAATACAACAGATCCATTGATTTGATGGCATTAAAAAGATTCCCATTCTTGTTCTCAATTAAACCTAATTTTTCTGGCATGTGGTTAGGCTTTTAAAAAGTTCTTCATTATCTGTTAGAGATATGTACTAAAGTATCTGCCAGTGAAATAATATATAGTCTGAAGTGTGCTTTAAGACACGCCAGCCCATTCACTCCCCTCCTTCCACCCTCCCAGCCCCAGACATGGGGGTGTAAATGAAACAATCAGAAACTGTTAAAAATAGTTGACCTTGGGTGATGTATACTTAATTATTTATTGCTGCAAACTACCACAAACTTAGTGGCCTTAAAACAAGACAGATTTTTCTCACAGTTTTTGTGGATCAGGTGTACAGGTACACTCAGTCCTCCACTTAAGAGTCTCACACCTGCCATCAGGGGGCTGCCCAGGCTGCATTCGCATTCGCTGGAGAACTGGCTTCCACTGTCTCTCCGGGCACAGGCAGAATTCCTTTCCTTGCAGCAGTAGGACCGAGGGCCCTGGCTTCTTGCTGGCTGGAGACTGGAGACTGTCCTCAGCTCCAAGAGGCAACCTGCAATTCCTGGAAGTTACCTGGACTTCATTGTCACTTGGGCTTTCCGAGCACAGCCACTTTTTGCATCGGGCCCACGAGCAGAGTTCCCAGAGTGAGCCTCCAGCAAGACAGAATTTTATATAACATAAAGCAATCCCACGGGGGCAACTTCAAATGGGCACATTCTGTTGACCAGAAAGCATGTTTTGCACACCCTCAAAGGGAGAGGAGTACACAGGGCCTGAACACTAGGGTGAGGGGCACCCTGGAGTGCATCCCCACAGTATACAAGAGGGTCCCTTATGCTGTTCTTACATACCACATCTGCTCATGTTTATGTTTGACATTTTTCATAATAAAAAGAAATGAATTAATTTTAAAATGTCACCTAAATTTTCCACAGCAAATAAGATATGCTGATATGATTTCTAAATAAGCTGATACAGTCATCTACAGTTGTCTTCCTGGGGATTACTTATTTCTTCCCCCTCCACCTTTGGCAGTTAATTCACTTGTATGGGTTACTCTCAACTAAGGGCATTCACTAGAACCTGGTGTGTGATAGCTATAGAATTCACCTCACCAACTACAGTTGATCTTGAACGATATGGGTTTGAACAGCATGGATGCCCTTAGACACGGATTTTTTTTCAACCAAATGCAGATGGAAAATACAGTGTCCCTGGGATGGGAAATGTGAGTACACAGAGGGCAAAGGCCGACTCTTCCTATATGCAGGTTCTGTGGCACCTGTTTAGGGACCTGAGTATGTGCAGATTCAGGTATACGCAGGTGATCTTGGAACCAATCTCCTGAGGATACTGAGTGATGACTGTAAAACCTACTGTATAAGGTATGGTAGAGTTCAGTATTTATTTTACAGTTATCTGTTTCAGAGCCTAGATTGTGCTAAGTACTGTTTTAGCAGCAGCGATATAAAAAGATCCAAGATAGAAGCTTATATTTGGGGACTGGGGAAGAGGTGGAGAGAATAAACAAACAAATAAATAACTAAATAATAAGACAATTTCAGAGAGCAATTACAAGAATGAAAAAACAAAGCAGGTTATGGGCTGGAGAGACGGGTCAGGCAGAGAGAGAATCGAATGATGAGAAACAGCAAATACCAAGGCAGAACAATCTGGAAAATTCTAGGGGTACAAAGAACACCAGTCTGGCTGGAGTGGAGCATGGGCCAAGGAGAGACAGAAGAAGAAAGAGGGCCAAGGAGGCATCTAGAATCGATTCTGCATGCACCAGAATCAATTCTGTATGCCGTGCTCTGTGCCCAACATTGGTTTAGGTGTTGAGGGGTCTGAAAGAAGAATCACCATCCTTGCCCTCCAGGAATGTATAGATTCCAAACTTTAATGCTAGAGGGATGTCAGCGTATCTAGAATTAGAGACCAAAATATTTATTTCGCATACAAGGACACTGTAGCCCAGAAAAGTCAAATGACCTGCTAAAAATTCCTTGAGAATGCCTCGCCAATAACACGCCAATAACAAATAATCCAAAAATGAGTCTGGAATTGAAAGAGTGTATGATCTACTTTTGTTAAATCAAGTTTAACCTAATGCTGCCTCCTTACATGTTTTAAGTTTGGCCTAAACGTTTCTCTGTACACTGTGAACTATAGGCTAAATGGAAATGTAAACAGAGTGTGATCTACTCTTCTGTCAATTACTGAGTTTTGGCTACTCAAATGTGGCCAGCTGTTCGAACCATGTTCAAATAAGACAAATGCTGAGCTGTAACCATCTGGCTGTTTCTGTACCTCATTTCCGCTTTCTATACGTCACTTTCCTTTTTCTGCCCATAAACTCTCTTATACCACATGGCTACCCTGTGGCTATCCTGGCTCAGGAGGCTGCCCAACTCCTGAATCATTCTTTGCTCAGTTAAACTATTTTAAATTGAATTCAGCTGAAGCTTTTCTTTTACCATGTTAAAGCTTTAGAAAACTGATAATGAATGTTTAGTGCCCATCATGTGCAGGGCAGTGTGATAAGAAGGTAAATGAGGCAGAGAAACGACAGTCAAGATTGGGAAACAAGATGGAGGCATGTGAGAAATTCAATAATACAAGAAAACAGTATTATAAAGATAATGATCTTTTCTCCAGTGTATTTTTGTGTTAGGCAATCTCCTGGTTCTCATTAAATCCAGAGGATAACCTGATGAGGCAGGGATTATTATCTTGATTTTGCAGAAGAGGAAACTGAAGATCAGAGAAGTTAGTTGATTTGCCCAGGATTCTGCAGTAAGTAAGAAACGGAGTCAGGATTCTATGCCGGGTATGGATGTCAGACCCAAGCTTTCCTATATTCCCCACACAATGGAAAGAGCAAACGGTCTGATGAACCAGGAACTGAGTAGAATAGAGAAAAATCATCTTGACTTCAGAGGGAAGAGAAATCTCAGGCCCAGACTGTAGCAAAGTGCAACTCTGAGCTTGACAGTTTAGACAGGAAAAACATAAAAGAGTTAGTCTCTCAGGGAAATGGGGATGGGTATAGAAAAGTAAATTATTGGGAAAGTATATGATGTTTCTAGCTGGAGTAGAACTGACAAGAATCCAAGCACAGTTAGTTTATTTGGGAGGGGATTGCAGAAAACACCAGCAGGAGAGTGAGGAAGTGAGACAGGAAGGAAAAAGAAATGAATAAAGCATGTGCTATTGAGCGTTACCATGGTGAGCCGCTGAAACTCAGACCCTCTAGGGCAGCGGACCCCAAACTTTTCAGCACCAAGGACCAGTTTTGTGGAAGACAATTTTTCCACGAACTGGAGGGTGAAGGTATGGGGACATGGTTTGGGAATGAATAAAGTGCGTTACATTGATTGTGTATTTTATTATTATTACACTGTGATATGTAAACAAAAACTATATAACTTACCATAATGTAGAATCAGTGAGAGCCCTGAGCTTGTTTTCCTGCAGTTAGATGGCCCCATGTGGGGGTGATGGGAGGCAGTGACAGATCATTAGGTATTAGATTCTCACAAGCAATCTAGATCCCTCACATGCACAGTTCACAAGAGGGTTTGCACTCCTGTGAGAATCTGATGCCGCCACTGATCTGATAGTAGACGGAGCTCAGGCAGGTGGATCTCAAGCAGTAATGCAAGCAATGGGGAGTAGCAGTAAATACAGAGGAAGCTTCGCTCACTTGCTCACTGCTCACTTCCTGCTGCACAGCCCACTTCCTATCAGCAGGTGGACGGGTACTGGTCCATGGCTCAGGGTTTGGGGATCCTTGCTCTAGGGAACTCTGGGGAAGTCTGAGTTGTGCAACCTGCCAGAGTTATCCCAACTAAGGGACAAGAAAGCTGAAGTTTATCCACCAATTCCCCATCTGTTATTAGTTGAGACCTCCTTCTGGGAGCATTACTCCACCTTCTTTACATTTAGCTACCGAAGCTGTCACTGTCATTAGCACTTACAGCAACAAGCTGGCCCTC